AAACACACCCACCCGTAGCCTTCCTCAGACATAGTATCGCCAGAAAAACTCACTTATTCTGTATCCTTAGAATAGTCAACATATCTATACCGGTCTCTACCCTTATAACAGTCGCGTACTTAACGTATCGTTGTAACTAAGTCTTACATAACGTGCATGGAGTGAATTGTGATTTATGTTAATTCAGTGTGTGTTACATTGTGATTGCTGAATTAATAATAAAGTTTAATTAAAACAAGGTTAATAGTTGTGTTACGACTCAGCTATTTTATTTCACCAACCAATCCCAAAAAATTACGTGACACTATCGTCGTTGATAACTTAGCGGTAAGTTAGAAAGAACAGATCGAGCAAGTATAGGTCAATGCCATTTATCGAAGCCGTTTATACGGTCAGTGTTTACCATTACACTTGCACCAAATGTTTACCCGAATTTCCACCGAATCTCCCTTAACCTGATTTCGCTTAGCTTGGCCAAACTTTCATTCGCCGTCAGTTCCAAAGCTAAATAATACTTGGAATCTTCTTCGACAACGAACCCGAAGATCCACCGATCAAAAAGAGTTACACGGTACGATATGTTCAAAAAATATCCATGCCATATCCAATAAGATCCATGCCGAGTTAAACAGACCCGAACAGAGAGACCATTAAGGTTGCGTTTATCCTCCGAAAAAAAAAAAGGAAAAAGGTACACACATATACAGGTTGTTCGCGTATTAGTCGCCAGGGTTTTTCTTCTAATTAATAGATTTGTAAGAAAAATCCAAAATAGGAAAAGACAAAGTTTTATTGTTTTTAGACTGCGAGTGTCCTATCAAATTAATCAAAACAGCAGAACCTAGACATTCGTCTTCTTCCTAATAAATATTATAACGTGGCCCGTAAACCAAACCTAATTCTTATCTTCTGTTTATAGTTTATATAGATTTGGGTTAAGTGCCGTTTTATTCGGCTGTCGTGAAGCGGCTGCCAACTATACCTACGCATACGCTACGGCGGAAGTACAATTTTAAGCAGAATTCAGGGTACTGGTACCGACAGTTTTTTTACGAATATCTCGGAAACTAAGGTCGATCGACGATTATACGTAGAAGAAAAAATTGTTCAAAATATTGGTTTCTACAACATATTCAAAGATCATCGAAATCGGTATGGTGGACGATCGATAATTACCAAAAATAGTAATGTTTGGTAATAAAACCAAAAGTTTGGTAATGTGATAGGTTGACAAGATATTGCATTTTAAAATTACTCTCGTGTGAAAGAGAAAACACGTGACTATCGTATCTTGCATCTGTGGTCTTTACGTAGTGCATATATGTATATATTTTTCTTTTTATCGTGTAATTTGTATTTTACAATTTATCCAGCTGAACATTCGGTAAATTTTTCTGGCTTAATATGCATATATATTCGGAAGAAATATTAAGTGTTTAAATGTTTTGAAAGTATACTTTTGTGTGTCATTGTGTCTGTCTTGTTTGCGTTATTTAACAAATCATTATAAACACCGTGGTACGCGATAAGTATGGATTAGATTATTCCACAACGAAGTGATCTCCGGATACGGCGTAACGCGATGACTGATTGGGGATTGGGGATCGAACGATCAAAATATTGGCTTCCAGTGATTCTGAAAGTGTAATGCATATACGAAGATTGTTATTGAGATCGATAGTCACTAAAATGTCTTAGAATTCCTAGAATTATCAAAAAGCGTAGAAAATATTCATTCGTAATATTCGACGATACACTGATCTATTGCAATATTAACAGACAATCGAATAATCGTTCTAAAGAATCTCAAAAAGTAAATAATTATATCCAGAGCAACGAAGGCGATTATCACTTACTGTATAAACGGTACTGTTTACGGTATCCTTAAAGCGTAAACTCTCCTCAGTGGTTAATAGTCTCTTAAAAGATCTAGAAAATTCACGTCTTCAAACTTTTTAAGTTAATAATAACGTACAATTTTTACCGAATAATTTATTCGAGCGTAGTAAACAGTACATTGGTAAAACACGCCAAGTGTGATATTACGTTCGGATCTGGGCAGATACTAAACACCTACGTTCACACTATAAAAGTCAGAATACATTAACAGCTAACTGGAATGTACGAAAGTACATTCTAAAACATACGTAGTAGCCGATGAGAGGATTTGGGAATTTAATATAAAACTTTCTTCGCGTCTCTATGTGTTTAAATATACAGGGTGATTGGTAACTGGTGGTACAAGCGGAAAGGCGGCGATTCTACGCGAAAAAAGAAGTCGAAAACATGGAATAAAAATTTTTCGTTCGAGGCTTTGTTTTCGAGAAAATCAATTTTGAATTTTCGTTCGGTACGCGTGCGGTTTATATATATATATATATATATATATATATATATATATATATATATATATATATATATATATATATATATATATATATATATATATATATATATATATATATATATATATATATATATATATATATATATATATATATATATATATATATATATATATATATATATATATATATATATATATATATATATATATATATATATATATATATATATATATATATATATATATATATCGTGTTCCGTATATATATATATATATATATATATATATATATATATATATCGGGTGAACTATAAACAACGTTGCGAGAAAGCCGAAGTGCTGATAGGCCGAGAGGGTCGAGAAACTTCAATGGGCCAAGCGGCCCATCGATGTATCGTCGGTCCTTCGGTCGAATAGTTACGCGGAAAAAGGTGTGCGCGATGACGATCGTGGAACACGTACGTGGTGGGGGTATGAGAAAAGACAAAGGAATCCTTAAGGGAGAAAGAGGAATTAATCGACAGTCGTTAACCGAGAGTCAAATTGTGAGAAGTCGTTGGTTGAGAGTCAAGTTGCGAGGAGTCGAGAGTTTAGTCGAGAGAGTTGCCGAGTTGTTACGAGTTGTGAATTATTCATTTAGTTGTCTTAGTTACAGCACATTACTGTATTTAGTTTATCGTTTCCTGGTTAATCCATTGTAAATAGATCCATCTGTGAATAAAAAAGTTATCATATAGGATAGAAATCATTGGAAATTTGAATTTATAATATTTCTGAATAAATAAATCCTATAATAATGTTATGCTTATTCCGTAAAACATTTGGGAATTACATTAATGCCGATTGGACACGACTCGATTGTAAGATATCGTATCTATTATGCAAATTTTCGTAAAAAATTTCTATAAACATTCTGACATTCTATACAAATTACACTTTAACGTAATCTGTGCGACGAAAGCTTCGACGATGACGTTCGCCAAATCGTGGCCGTAAATCTGTGAAACGAGATCAGTAAAATTACGTCTATTATTAAAAGTCGTGCGTTCGAGTCGGTTTATTCCTGGACGCCGGCATCCGAGCGAATCTCCACGAGCCGATTCTCGTTAATTACTATCCGCGGTGCGTAATATTGGGTCATACGCGGGGCTACTGTCGCGATACAAGGTGACACGCCACAGCACGTCACCCAGGTTTCACCGGTATTCACCGATTGTGGGATACTGCCAACTCTGGTGGACTCCTCCGCTTCTGGTCTGACCACTGTCCATCGGCTGGCCACCACCACACACAGCAGGATATTTCTAGTCGGCTGGCATGTTCGAGTTAGTGTTGGATCGTGTGCGCATCGAGCACCTGTGCGTGTCGGTACAGCCTCGTTTTCTCGCTCGTTCCGCGGACTCGCGATTCCCTTTTTCAGTCGACGAGTGAGGAACGCCGAAAGAAGAGGCTGCTGTAGCCGTTGCATCGAATGTGAAAAACGAGCCACGGCAACATGAGCGACAAGAAGAAGATACCGTCCAGCTGGAAAAGGCAAGAAGAACAAAGCAACAGGCCCAAGGACCCGGTCAGGCCACCGAGGACAAGGGCGCAACAGGCTCGTCACAATGCAGCTATCGATCGACACGACAATCGCGGTGCGCCGTGGACCAGCGTGAAACCAGCTTAAATAGCGGACCGAGACGGGTTTAGGTTTAATCGTATTCGAAAGTTTGATTGCCGCCGGGGATTGGTATTTTGTCAGAAATTTCGGAAGACGATGTTCCAACGAGTACGACGCGGAATCATCGATCGAGCCGAGAATGGAATTTAATCGCGAAACGAAACGAGCTTAAATCGTAGGCAACGAAGTTCGAAGGCAGATATCGAGGCTGAAAATTTGCTCGTTGGAAAGGGAATTGGCTTGTTGTCAAATGCTGCGGCAAGACGCAACAAGAACTCGCGATAACGGAAACGTTTGATCGGGATAACGATGGGTCAGAAAATATACGAAACGTAATGACTGGTCGTACGTGAAGTTCAGGGATTTGATTGGAACATAAATTGTCGATAATTTGCTAATATTTTTGATCGTGACGCGTTCCAAAGTACAGTCTCGCCGTGAAATTAACGTAAATCATTCGATCTATCGTTCGACTACGTGAAACTTGAATTCGACGGGATTAAAATTTTGAATGCGTCGCGTATTCGTAAATAACGAAATTGCGTAAAAGGAGGTACAATGTAGCACGCAAAACTAGCTTTTCAGAACGACTAGAATTTAGCTTTAATCGAACGTGAGAGTTTGGACATGATATTGGCGCGTTTCCAAAACCTCGACAACGCAACAGATTCGCGGCAATGAAATCGTTTATCGGAACGCAGACCTTCAGAGTTCATTGTAATGCCAAACGAATACACAAGCAGCAACTTAGAAAATGTCCGAGTGTTGACGTTCATTACGCGTAACATGCAATAGTTGCTCTTTAGTTTTACTTTCCAATGCTTCGATGATCGACGATCGTTGGAATTTTTACTAAAATCTTTCTTTGCTTCACTATTTTGTTGGTTCCGTTCTAACGTCCGTTGTTCGTTTATAGAAATTATTTGCGAAGAAAATATTTGCATAAACGAAGTAAATAGACTAAATATGCGTTTCAAAATTTGCTTTCAGTCAAGAAAGTCCCGATGACGACCCTCGATGAAAACGTGAACCGTGTTCCACGGGTGTACACAAACGAACGGGAGGAAGAAGGTGAGTTTCTTTCATTGACTTATTCTTTAGTACGTCTTACAAACATACCCAATGGACCTTTGAACCACAGCGTATTCTTAATAGATCGTCATACAAAACCTTCGTAAGCTTCTAAGAATTTTAAATCCAAGTATAGTAATATATTGCGGCACAATATTTGTTATTATATAATATTGAAAAAACAGTAACATTTGTACTGTGAATTCCTGCCAGTCCGATATTATTTATTTAGAACTGTGATTATTATTTAAATTTTTATTAAATACCACGGTCAACCGATAACTTATGCCGCACGAAACGCTACACATATATATTTTTTGCATACTTTACGATGCACGCAATCTCGTGCAAAAACTATTATCACAGGTTTGCAACGTGGAGAAAAATATAGACGCGTATACAGCGTGTATAATAGTAGCGTTCAGCCAGCGTTCACACGTTGAATACGTAAGCATAGCAACAATCTGCAGTTTTTTTTTCTTTTAATTAATAACGTCTATAGATTTGCTTTCTTACACTTACGCAGCTCGAATAGTTTTTCTACTCATTGACGTTCGCACGGACTTCTAGGAAAATCAAACTTATTAATACGGACTATCTCTTTAATTGTTACTTTCTAATTATTTTCACTCGTATAAGCAAAAACGAAGATCGATCAAATTTTCACCATGCTGCAAACATATATTTATATAGACTGTAATTTTGTTTTTTTTTATTATTGTTACATGGAACTTCGAAAATGTGCAGTCGAAAAAATTGCTACTAAATGTTAAACCAAAGATCATTCGTTTTTATCTCATAAGAGATTTCAGTTATAGTTAGCCCATCACTATCTGTTCTCAGAATCTTTTTCAGTATCTTAGTTCAACATCTCGCAAAATATTAAAAGTACATTAAGAAGATTCAAACGTTCGCCTTCTTTCTCGATAATATTACTCTTTACCGTGCTCGATAATAATTACTTTTGGTTTTCACTTCCGCGTCGTTTAAATCTACCTCGATACACGCAATTGCCCACATACTCTGGATACTCTTGAAATATTTGATAAGAACGTGGCGTACGCGTTGCTTAAAAGTAACGACGATTAATGCGAAAAGCAGTTGTAGCTGCCTTTAAAGCGCGGCAGAATCTTTCTAGGAAACGGTGTGTACAAACACGGCGAGCTACATTTTCACTAGGCCAATTGCATCAGTCAACATCTCGTTTTCAGAATTTCCTTCTTCTTTTCGAGTGTAGCAGAGGCTGGCGACGCGCGTCTGTTAATTAAATTCTCGTATTCCGTTTTTCTCGCTACGTCGCGTCGCCCCGAGTCTTCCGTTCCAGATGAGAAATTCGACGCCCTGTATTCGCGAGTTTAATGCGGTAATGATTCGTGTAAATACAAGATTGCAAGGCACCGATGCGGCTGTGGATGGCAGTCGGCGTCGCGTATTTCAC